AGAGATTACAAGCTTATCTATGAAGTTAACTGAGTAGACAGTGAGGAAGATGATGATCAAGTGTGTTCTATAAGGTACTAGTGTCCTATTTATACAGATAATCCTTCTACGGTTTCTTACTGATCCTTCCTCTTTTTTATTGATTCTGTGAGACCTTCTACTTTTGTCATGTAATGACCTCTGTCATATGACACTACTGCATCCATGGCTCTTGAGCGGTTACGCGTACCAATATTCTCTGTGGCAGAGAGTGAGTGTTCGTTATGGATGTCAGAAGTGATCCCTCTGCTCTCTGGACAAGTGGTGCGACGGGAGTAGTTCAGGATCAACAAGGAGGCCGAGCTCCTTGATCTCAAGTTGACCTCCTACTGGGCTGGATTGGGGCTAGGCTGGGCTTCAAGCCTTCAGGCATTGTCAGGCTTCATCCTTTGGGCACGATTCATTCTAATTTTGGAGTGGACAGGCTGCAGGTGAGCTGTTCGAGCCACTCTACAAGTAGAAGTCTTTTGAACTTATTGGGCTCTTGATTAGGACGACCTATACCAAAAATTCCATCATTATCAGTAGTAATGAATTCAAAATTGATAGCTTTAAACTCCCCTTTCGGATAAAGAATGAGATCTGTCCAATAATTATATCTACACCAACCCATACCCATCAAAATGGAATCCCATTTTAAATTGAATTAATAATTAAAGTAAATGTTTTTAATTAAAATTTTGTTCTATCTCTCTTTTTTTAATGGAGCTACAATTTTATTGCTACTATTTGATTGATAGTGTAATATGAGAATTTCAATATTTTTGAATATAAATTAGGAATTCAAAGATCTTTTCGGGATGTAAAATGTCATTTGTTCCTGCATATAAAATAACATTAGGCATAGTTGATTCTTTTCGAACCCACAACAATAAAAATCTCGTGTTGCAAGAGTTAAGTACTCAAAGGAGATTTTGTCGCATTAAATAGAGGAGATCAAGCATGAGCTTAGCCCAAATGACTTTGAGCTATGTCTGGGTGAACGTGTTCAACCCACTTAATAATAAAGTTGGTAGGAACTTGATAATGTGTAACACATATTCGTTTGTACACAACTATATACTTACATATAATATATATCTCTAAACCAACTATTCATGACTATAAACAAATCATATATGGCTTGAACTAATTTACTTGAAATGATTTGGATACAGAATGACGATGTCAACCTTTTCGATCAAGTCATGTTTTGTGCTTAATTACTTGAACATTGATTGACATTTTTTGGGGAGGGGGAGAGGAAAGAAAGGTAGGAGATGGGTTTGGAAGCCGTAACCACATGCAGTCAGGAGTGAGCACTTTCCACTAGGCCACTCCCTCACACTTTTTGTTTAAATGACTTGCATTCGAATTCTAATTAGAAGTTCAAATGGCCGACTTGTACATGGCATAAGAGAATAAAGTGAGGCTGTAAAACACCATGCCTGTGCAGGTGGTAGTGGTGGCAAAGCTATTGGCAGTGGTTGTGGTAGGGTCGTTGCAATGGTGGTTGTGGTTGTTGTGGGGTAGTGAAAGTTGGGGAGGTGGTAGAGTGGTGGTTGGGGGATTTTGATGGTGACAGTCAGGTGAGGTGAGAATGGGTAATGGAGAGGAAAGGAAAAAAGACAAAAACCAATAACTTTCACAATTCAACTCCTTGTATTAAGCAGGACCTCAGTCCTACCCAAATGATTTAAGCCCTCTGTGATGGAGTGGTATGTTGAAGGTTCGATTCTCCTCCCCTTTCCCTTCTCCTGTAGTGTAAAAAATTGTTGCTATAAAAAAAAAAACTCCTTGTATTAAGTGGTCTTAAGGAATAAAACCTTCAACATATGGGTACTACAACTTCTGCATTCAATTTTCAATTTATGAAACTATAACTAAAGTTAACAAATGCTTTAACATTTTAACTTGTTTACACTAGGGGAATGGGCTCAATGAGTAATGCTAATATGCGATCTTTAGTCTCGCTACTTTGGGAGGCATGCCCATCGCCATGCTGGTTCATGCATTGGGACATCCTTGCAATATTCATTGCCATGCTGGTTCATGCATTGGGACATCTCCTCTTTTCATCTCATCCTGCCTGAGTCGAGGAAAAGAAAATGATAGTTGGTTATACAAACAATGAACTGAAATAATGGGTGAGCCCAATTGGCAAGGACAACTACACCTGTCAACCAATTGGATGCGGATTCGCTTGCCCCATCTAAATACTAGGCCAACAAAGCCATTGCTTTAGGCCCTAATTTTAGAGAATATTTTTTACATCACTATGCTAGGTTAAGATTCTAGGCCTATAAAAGTCTAAGTGGCACAAGAAAGCCTCATAAGAGTCAAAGTTTCAAGAAAAAAAAATGGGATAATTTAAAAGTGAATACAAAAATTTAGACTTATTTGAGCTAAATTACATTAAGCAAACTTATTTGTCTCTAAGTGCATTTTTAAAAAAAAAAATTAAAAGGGTATTTATTATTCTGTTACTCTCTCTCCATTACTCTTTCACTCTCTTTTCTTTTTCTCTTTATCTATTTCTCTGTCTCTCTCTTTCTATCATATATTTATAATTTTTTTTAAATATGTAAAAATTTGATTTAATTTTTTCATCTTTCTCTCACTCTCCCCTTATTTCCTTATTCTCTCCCTTTTTCTGTTTCTTTATATTAATGTTACACAACACAATTACACTAATCAGTTATACCAATTAGTTACAATTATTCTATAATATACTAAACAGTTACTTATGTGTTATAATAAACAAAACAGTTAGACTAAACAATTATACGAAATTACAACATCAACCCAATTTGTTATTTTGTTATTTATTTAAATCAAAGAGTTACATCATTTAATATTACGACATGGTTACACCAATTATATACGTCAAATTGAGTTTATCATTACATAAAAGACTTTACTATTATATTAAATTTGATATATATGATTGATGTAACGATATCGCGATACTAAATAATGCAACTATTTAGTTTATATAAACAATTGAATGAAAAATTGAGTTGATGTTATAAATTTGTATAATTATTTAGTGTAACTATTTGGTTTATTAGAATGCATGAGTAACTGTTTGGTGTATTATAAGATAATGACAACTGATTGATGTAATTGATTAGTATAATTATGTGGTTATAATGTTGATATATATCAGAGAGAGAGAGAGAGAGAGAGAAAATAGGGAGAGAGAGAAATGGTTACAAAAAATAGGGGGGACCGAGAGAAAATAAGGGAGAGAGATGAAAAAATAAATCAAATCTTTACATATTTGAAAAGAAAATAAGTTATCAATGATATATATAGAGAGAAAATAGGAGAGGGATGTGGAAAGTAATGAGGAAAGAGAGATAGATGGAAAGAAAATAGGGGAGAGATAGTTAAAGTGTGTAATGAATTTTTATATATTTGATTAGATATATAACTGCCAATCAAGAATGCATAATTTAAGGAAGGGTATTTAGATAAAGAAGTTTTGATTTCATTTGAATTTTGTACCTAGACACAATATGTTTTATTAAAATTAAACTTAATTGAGTAAATAATTTATCCAAATACTTTTTTTCAAATAAATTTTATAAATTGTACTCACAACCTAAAAAGCCCAAAAAAAAATGTAAGGCTAGGCCCAAAAAACTTAAGCAATTGTCACATTTGATCCAAAAAAAAAGAAGAAGATAAATGAATGTGTTACACATTTTCTTTTTTTACAAAAGAAAAGGTGTCTTTGTAGTGTAAACCAAACAACTAACCCCCCCGCTCTCTCTCCCTCTCTCCCCTTCCTCTTTTCTAATATTTTCTAATTGAGGTATTGAAATATTGGAATATTAGATTATTTTTCAAGTGCATATATAAGTTACAATATATTATTGACATTATGTATAACAATTGTATCACAAAAAGATGTTTTCTTGAATTAAAACTAATTAAATATTGCCTTAGATCAACTAAGTTACAAGAAAAATTAATTACGTTAGTCAAAAATCAAATTGCAAACAATGTAAAAACATAAGTAGTTACTTTGTATCTCAAATAGCGAGACACACAAATTTTACTTGAAAACTGCAAAAAATTTTATTTAAAGATGTCGCTGTTGACCTCATACTATATATATATATATATTAGTTAAACCAATTTAAGGAAAATTTTATTAATAACAAAATTATAAAGAGAGGCGAGGACATAAACCTTTCCCCTTACATAATAAAAGAACTTTAAATACAAAATAAAGTCTTAACAATAACTGCACACGCTGCATTTTACAGTCAACGAAGAGTCCAGAGAATATGAACTAGCTGACAGTCCATTAGAAAGTTAGATGAACAGTATAGAGAACGGTACTGGACAGCTGAACATTTATCTGTTACTTTCTTCGAATAACCCAGCTGAAAGACAGAATAATAAGAATGCTATTGAATTGGCACCGTGGATTAGATTTCTATAGCTCAACATCCGAATTTAAAAGAATTTGACTTGTATATTCGATCGATTTTAGATTTTTACGCCATATTTGGATTCCTTAACAAATTTTAAACCAGTCCAAATATTGGATTTGTATATCTAAGAGATTTGAATTGTACACTCCATATTTGAATCTCGTAAAAGTTCCAAACCCCATTTGAAAATTTGATCCTTTTTGAATTATGCATAAAGCTACATTTTGCTAGTTATATCCAAATTTTAACATTTCATCAAATAAGCTGTTAGTTTTGTCATAAACTAATATACTTAATCATAATTCAAATGGAATCATAATCGTATCACTTGTTTGTCAATGACCTAGTTTTGAACTTAGCTACCAATGAATCAAATATATCAAAATTTATTTGTTCAACGGGCTATGTTCAAATCTGTATTTTGCCATCAAAAGTTGACAAACAAGCATTCTTGCTTGCAGAGATATTCAACTCTTTCAGAAATGAAGAAGGAAATTTAAAGCCAAACCTTTGTGAAGATACAAAGGGAATGCTCTACTTGTATGAAGCCTCATACCTAGCAATAGAAGGTGAAAGTATCTTGGAGTGGGCAAGGCAATTCCCTGCCAAAAATTTGAAAGAGAAGCTTGAAGAACAGAAAAAATGGATCAAATTCTTGCTATTTTAGTGCACCATTCCTTGGAGGTTCCTCTACATTAGAGGGTGCCAAGGTTGGAAGCAAGGTGGTTCATCAACTTGTACCAGAGAAGACCACACATGAATCCTATGTTACTGAAACTTGCTAAATTGGACTTCAACATAATGCGAGCAACACACCAGAGTGATCTTAGATATGTGTCAAAGTAAGAGCCCATAATATTTCAGGGAAAAATCTGCTAAAAATTTAAAATCAATCCTAACTTGACCATATTAATTCTTAACTTTTTCTAATTTGACTTTTTTGGATCATAACTTTCGGTACAATATTAAAAAAGTATGTTTTGATACCAAAGAAAATCCCTTGTCTCGTAATTTGGATAATTTATTATATTTTGAAACCATGCATGAATTTCTTTTTTTTTTTTTTTGGGTGCTTAATTACAAACAGATGGTGGAGGGGTACGTGCCTTGGAGAGAAATTGACCTTTGACCGTGTCCAACGTTCAATAAATACTACTATCTCATTTAATCTCTGGCACGTAATATCACGATTTAATATAAAAACTAACATATATGCAGTACCCAACATTTATGCACATGTAATTACTAAATGGCGTAGAACACATAAGTGAGCTACATTGTGCATATTTGGTCCTTTGTTGTTAGATCATGACACCAATCGCTAGTTATAACATGGTATCAGTGTTGTAGTCGAACTCCAACTATTAACTGAGGCAAAAAAAAAAGAAAGAAAAAATTGGAAAACAACTCCAATACCTTGAGGAACATTATAACCATCCTGTCTTAGGAGTCTAAATCGAAGTGCTGTGGCATATAGATCTTCTTTGTACCACTTATCATCGCTGCCATTATTGTTGTATATGTTTTCCAAAACTCTCTTGATGAGATCCTCAAAATGATAAGATACCCCTAGTCTTTGCAAGTTGTCCACCAACTCCAACTGATCCAGTGGCTTCTTTGCTTCCTCAAGCATCATTTTCACATGTCTCTTCAGCTCATTCACCCTTCCTGAACAGAAAATTTGGTAGCAAGATTGATTTTTGTTCCAGCTTTACATATCACCTTTTTTTTTTTGTAACAATAAATACCAGCTCAACCTTGTGGTTTTTAAACTCATGGTTGCAATGTACACACAATCACCCGCAAACCACATGTTAAATCCAGGTTATAAGAGAGTCACCTTGTAATCACTTTTGAGTGACTGAACAAAATCGTCTGTCCAAATGGGAGGTTGGTAGATTGCTGATCGCCTAATGGGGGTTTGATCACAAGGCTTAGTGATGACTGTTGAGCATTTTACAAGACCAAGACAGGGGACACCGCTTGTGGTGATTGCATGCAACAGTGTAGGAGTTCTGTGTGGCTGTCTAGTGAAGGGCCTGAGAAAGTTTGGTTCAGTGAGGACAACTGCAAACATGTTGCTAATAATAGCCATCGGACAGAGTCTATACTCTTGCACAAGCTCTTACCTGGGTGGCTATGTTGAAATCGACTGAGCATATGAGTAATTTGGTACCCTTATTTATAGGGTCTTAGAGCATTTTCAATCATGACTCAAATTTGAATAAAAAATTTGGTTTGATATAGAATATTTGAATGAACAATCTGAACTATTTACTCAAATCTTTTAAAAAATTCTCTTACCGTCTCAAAACTCATTTTTCTTAACGAGAGTTTGTAAGAGAGAAAAATGGTAAAGATAGAGATAGAGAGTAAAAAGTTACCATCGAAGAATAGAGGCAACAATAGGTGGTATGGTCGGTGGTGATGACAACGACTTTGAAGATAGAGACAATAACTTATTCAGTCGAAGAAGTTTTTGGGTTTTGTTGGAGTATTAAGGGATGAATTAAGGAGTTGTAATAAATTAAAATTCTTTAAGTCAACTTTAAAATTCTTTAATGTGCCATAAGAAATGTGTGGTTGTCAATTTTTTGTCATTAAATATTTCCTTCTAAAGTGATTCTTTGCTACTAAAGGGTATACATGTTCCTCTAAAGAGGTTGTAATTTTACTTAGTAGATTTAAAAATTAGATTTGATAATCTCAATCATTGATTTTACTGTGAGTCCCAACATTTATTGGAACTCACTACCTATTCAATGGTTGAGATTATCAAGTCTAATTTTTAAGTCCATCTAGCATTACTCTTTTACCTATAACAGTAATAACGTTGTTTCTAAGATTGGTAACATTAACTTAAAAGATTGTAAGCTCATGTCAAAAAATTGTAGCGCCACTTCATCTTTAGAGGTGATAACTTTACCTCAATGTTTTATTTGGTGGGAAAGATGGAAATATAAATGATACATTTTATTTCCTTTGTATTTGGTAGGATGAATGAAAAATTAATAATTAATAATTTTTTTTTTGTGCTTAATTGGTAAGATGGAAAAAATATATATATTTTTTATTTTTAAAAATTTTTATTTTAAATTTTTTTAGAAAAATATAAATACATATTTTATCATTGTATTTATATATTAAATTAATAAATAAACAAAAAGATACATTTCAACACAAATAATTAACTTTCCATCAACTTTCTTTTCAATTTTAGAGGGATTGATTTTGATGAGTTAGAAGGAAAACTCATTCATCCATTTTTTCATCCTTTTTATTTTTCTATCTTACAAAATACAATATTTTATCTATTCCTCAAACTTTCCATTTTTCTATTTTTTCATCGTACCAAACGAAGCACCTAGTGTTTATAACCTAACTTTAAATGGTTATAACATCACATTCAAAGGTAGTAACTTCACCATAAATGGTTATAACCTTACTTTAAAAGGTTATAATCTAATCTCTAAAATTGATAATTTTACCTCTACAGACTGTAACTTAGCCTCGAATAAAAATAACCTCACCTTCAAATGTGATAAATTTACTTTAAACAGTTGTACCCTTACCTAAAGAATTTGTATCTCACATTTAAAGGTGATAACTTTACCCTTACAAGTTGTAATTTAATCTCAAATAATTGAACCATTACCTCCAAGGATAGTAGCTTTACTTTACAAGATTGTAACCTTTCATTCAGAGGTTATAACCTTATCTGTAAAAGTGGTAATTTTACCTCTATAGGCTATAATTTAATTACAAATGGTTGTAACATTACCTCTTAAAGTAGTAACTTTACCTTAAAAAGATGAACCTTACCTTTAGAGATTATAACTTTGTCTTTGTAAATAGTAACTTTACCTCAATAGTTATGCTTGATCATAATTATTTGGGATCGATCCCAACACCTCTGATTGATTCAAATATTCAATGAAAGGGTTTTTTTTTACAATTCCACTGAATAAAGATTGATCATGACTATATGTGATTGATCTTAACACACTTGATGGTCCAAAAATTCTTTCAAACAAAATTTCTAGAGGTTCCAATTAGATAGGATCGATCATGATTACTCGATTTTTTTTTTTGAACTGATCCCAATCCTATATTCAGTTACATCAACTTTATTTAGACATAAAGTTCAGACATTGTTGGCCTTGTGATTGAGTTGACCTATATAACATTGTTTAATGCCAATGGAATCTAATAATCAGATTTAATATATTATTAATATTATCTTAATTTCGACTGTTAAACTTTTTTATTCGCATTATATTCATCAACACATCATTCGACTATTATATTAGGTTAAATTGTTAGATCTCAGTCAAGGGGGTCGTGGCCTCTCTCCGACAGTGGCAGCGCAACCCTTCCCCCTCGTGCCCTCCTCTCCCTTCGCCACTACTTGCAAGACATCTTATGGTAAAAAAAGCTCATACCCTTAGAACGAAACACAAAATTTTCACTTCTTACATTACGGCGGCATAGGATTTGAGGTCTATATATTCAATGCCACGATAATATCACATTACCATCGATGTATGAAATAAATATTCAGTAATTAATTAAAAATTCTACAATTTGGGTGAGAACTCTATATGCAGGCTTAAACCAAATAATTCTCAGACGTCAACACTTTTATTTGTTTATACAAAGGGGAATGGGCTCAATAAGCAATGCTAATATGCGATCCTTGGTCACGCTACTTTGAGAAGCATGTCCATCTCCATGTTGGTACATGCACTGGGCCATCCTGCCGAGGTTCACTGCCATTCCGATGAAAGTTTGAGAGAAAGGTGAGTCTGCAACTTGAGCTACATTCATTTTCTTCCATGTCTCTCTGATCAAGAATGTTATGTGTTTGCGAGCCTCTTCTTCGGAAGCTCCAGTCTGATTCATGTAACATTGAATTGATTTAGGCACATCCCCTCTCTTCATCTCATCCTAGACAATGAAAAAGAAATGACAATACATTAATATATGTGTGTGTGTGAAACAAGTGAAGTTAAGGGTGAGGCTAGGTGACATGAACAACATTCGTTTAGTTGACTAGAATTTGAATATCCATATTGAATTCTAATCAGAGTTTTCAAATCAATTGAAATTTGCTCGATTGACAAACATAGATAAGAGCAGGGGATGCATACCGATGATGTCCCTAAATCATTTGCAAGTCTTAAAATCATTGAAGACCAGCGGATTATATCATGATACTTGTCCAAGCATTCCAAGGCCTCTTTTGTTATCACACTCGAAACAAAGAAATAAACATGTACTAGCATTACTGGGGCTGATATTGAAATCCATGCATTGTCCAAGTATTCTTCCAAGGTAGGTGTATATCCATTCACGTACCACGTTACCTCTTGTAAGAAAGTTTTGCATAAGTCTGCCCACTGTAACATTAAAAGTGCATAGTAAATCACAATGTTATCAAATCACGTCTTGCCGTGTTTGAATTGTATTATTTTAACTTTGTGGACAAAAATAATCCAAGTTCCCTAATTAAGCATGCCACATGTTCGGACACAATGACACTAACCCAACCTCTTTAATTATATTGTTATGTTAGAATCGATACGCATAATCTGTAAACCAAAACTCATGACTAAGGTCTCTTTTCTTTTCACCTAAAACCTACCACTCATATGTCACCCATTAATTAAAAATTTAAATCAACCCATATGCAAGCAAAACCAAATAAAAAAGTCTCTGTTTTTACATGGATTCATTTGATACGAATTAAACAATTTTGTTGTGTCAAAATCAAATTATGTATTCTTGAAACTAATCCGACCAGTTATTATTCATGTCCTACTAACATGTCCAGTTGAAAAATTGCAACCCCTAGTAAATCATGACAGTGGCTACATCAAAATAGATAGTCAACCTGATGACCAAACAAATATAAAGAAACAAACCGCCTTTCTTAGGTAGGGAATGACGTGAACGCCTTGTTCTTTAAGAGCATCATCAGCCATTTCATTAATGGAGTTGTAGAGGGCAAGGAAGCATATTTGCATGTACTCTGGAAGCTGCTCCATTGCATTAATGTCCCATCTGAATCATATACAGAAACACAATATTCAGACAAACCCCCTTAAGAAGCTGATGAAGATTCTAGATAAGAACATCAATTGAGTCATATCATATCATGCTTAAGTTGTTTTATTTCTGATCTGTGACGAGTACTTGTAACCCAATCTGTTCAATTAATCTTGTTGGATAATCAAACACGAAATCGACCTATTTATTAATCATATCATGTCCAAATGGACACGCATAACCAGTGCATCAGAAACATCGACAAGGACCTCCTCTGTTTTGACTATAAAACCCTTTAATTCTACACATAAAAAAGACCATATATTTTTATTCACACAATACCAGTAAATAAAACTGACATGTCAAAATCGGGATATTAGGTATTTAACACTAACTTGATTAGTTTATCACTCGTATTTTGTCAGCTTTGATCTTGTGCTGAGAACTAATCAACTCTGAACCATTAATTTTGGATTAAGGTTTATGTCATAAACATGTATTATTCATAGGTGTTAAACATGAATTTACACTACCATCATACTAACCTTTCCACAGCGTTAGTAAAGAGCTTAAGTTCATCCAAGGTGCCATAAACATCGTACACATCATCAATTGTTGTTATTAACGCATTCACCTTCGTTAACATCCTCCGACAATATCCATATTGAGGTTCGAAGATTACTCCCACTGTCCAAAGGAAATTCTCCATCAACCTATCTCTGGCAAAGGTCAGCTTCTCTCCAATGCACGTACCAGTCCACCACCTATAAGTAGTTATAAAGCAAATAAAATTCTCATGCACAATTTATTTATAGCTAATGGAAAATGTTCTAACCATGCCCTTTCTGAAATTTTTTTTTCTCATACAACGATTAATCTCTATTACAATTTACAAGTCCCCTATATCACTATTACAATAATAGTATGAATGAATCACAATCCCAATAATTATATCAATGAAGTCTAAATGAATCACAAACACAAAAGAAGAGCTAAATAGAACCCCCAAAGTGTTGGACAAAGAGGAGTAGAATACAACCTTTAAAATAGACCTCCCGGTTGAGAGTATGAAGAGAGGCCCAATTGGTTCACCTTTTGGTAGTTAGAATGCATTGCTAAAAAAAAAAAAACTTGGATGCACAAAATTACCTGTAAATCATACACATCAATTAATCCCGAGTTTTCATATGGTAGTTTTACTCGAAATCAGGATATGTGGGTTTATGGCTTGTCCTTCTTCGATCAAATATCCAATCCGTACGAGTTTTCAGGGTTTTCATATTGAGGTGATGATCAATCCAAAAAATGAAATAATGGCATACAAGCTCTTACTTTGAGACAAATCTTAGATCACTCTGATGTGTTGCTTGCACTATGTTGAAGTCCAATTTCGCAAATTCCAGTAATACAAGATTCATGTCTGGTCTTTTCTCGTACAAGTCTATGAACCACCTTGCTTCCAACCTTAGCATCCTCCAATGTAGAGGAAGCTCCAAGGCATGGTGCACTAAAACATCAACATTTTGATCCATTTTCTGCTCATCAAGCTTCTCCTTCAAATGTTTGGTGGTGAATTCTCTTGCCCTCTCCAAGATACTTTCACCTACCACTGCAAGGTGTGAAGCTTCATACAAGGATAGCATCCCCTTCGTATCCTCACAAAGGTTTGACTTTAAATTTCCTTCATTGTCTCTGAAGTTAAGTACCTCTGCAATCAAGAATGATTGATTGTCAGCTTTTGATGGCAAAATACAAATTTTAGCCTAACTCAAGTCCAACGCCTAATAATTACAGATATGTAATTACGGAATTTTGTTGAGTATACATATGTGAGTTACATCATGCATATTTGATGTTTTGTTGTTGGATTGTTACACCATGTGTCAGTGATACGTGATACCGTTGTTGTAGTCGAATTGAAACTATTGACTAAATGAAAAAAAAAAAAAAAAACAATTCCATTACCTTGAGGAACGTTGTAACCATGCTGTCTTAGGAGTCTAAATCGAAGAGCTGCTGCATATAAATCTTCTTTGTGCCACTTATCATCACTGCCATTATTGTTGTATATGATCTCTAAAACTCTATTGATTTCATCCTCAAAGTGATAAGACACCCCTAGTCTTTGCAAGTTATCTACCAACTCCAATTGATCCAGTGGTTCCTCTGCCTTCTCAAGCATCATTTTCATATGCCTCTTCAGCTCATTCATCCTTTTTGTACATTCAGTCCCCTGCATAAATAAACATTTATTAGAAAGATTGATTTATTCCAACTGTTGACATCATCATTCAATTTTTTTAGGGCGGTTAACGGGAACTGTCTCAACCACGTGTGTTTTGAACTCATGGTTGCAAAGTAAATATCCCGCAAACCATGTGTTGAATTCGGATGTTATAATAGTCACCTCATAATCACTACTGAGTGATTGAATATAATCGTTTGACCAAATAGAAGGTTGGTAATTTCCTGATCGCCTAACGGGAGATTGATCACAAGGCTTGGTGACAGCAGCTGTGCATTGTACAAGACCAAGACGGGGAGCAGAGGTACTGGTAGGTGCAAGCAACAAGTCAGTAGGGAATCTTGGAGGGTGTCTAGTGGAATTCCATAGAAATTTTGGTGCAGTGGGTGGAACTGCAAGAAGGGTGATGGTAGCCATTGGAGTGAGTTGGTAATGTTTTAGGCAGAGTTGGATATGTAGGAAAATTTATGTGAATACAGTTAACTTGGTAACTCCCCCCATATTTATAGGATTCATGCAAATGTAATGGCACCAGAAGAATGTGACAGCATTTCTAGTAACATCAGCCAGCAACTTCCTACTAGCAAAAGACGTATAAAATATTTTTATTTTTATTTATTTTATTTTGGTATTGTAATGTGTTGTACTTCACACATAAAATGTTGTACAATCATGCACAAAATATTGTATATTTTAACAATTTAACATTCTCTTTTGTCATATTTATATTGCAAAATTTTTCTTGTTAAAATATTTCTTCGGTTCTCTACAATATTAAAAAAGGAAAAAAAAATTATTTTATTAGTTAGTTCTAAATTTTCATTATCTTTTTCTTTATATCTAATAGATAACTAATTTAATTATATTTAGTGAGGGATTCGACTTTTGTTAATTGAATTTTAATGTCTAAAACCCCAATTCAAAAATTCAATTAATTTATTTGAATCTCAAATGGAGTTTTTTTTTTTTTTTGATAATTACTTCTCGTTATTTAAACTACCACAAAATATATTAATAGAACCTAATTTAAAAAATATCGTCCAAGGCCCCGCATGGGCCGCACCCTGCTGCCACGTAATGCCGACATATTTGAGTTGTCAAGGTTCTGTAAGAACACAAACTACAATTATTAGTAGCACTTACTTTATTTGAGTTGTCAAGGTTCTGTACTTGATATTTGAATTTAAAAATTTAATATAATCTAAAAATTTAATTCAATGTAACTATGTGATTAATATTAAATGTTACAGGTTACACTGGTTTCTAGTAGTATTATTAAATCGTCCATAATTCATGGGATTAGACATTCTCAAATTTCCTGACCAAAGAAAGACATTCTCAAATTTAACACAGGAGGTATCGTACCGAAATTTACAATAATTTTTGGTTAAGTTTTGATTTTTTTAAAATATAAATTATAAATTTTAAAGATCAAGTTATAATTGATAAGAGAGAAGTTACAACTACTAAAGGAAAGTTCATGATCGATGATGTGTATCTGTGATCGATCATGGACCCTTGATTGATTATAAATTTTTCCTGACCAGTTGTAACTTTTTTTTTTTCAATTGTACCTTTACCATAAAAGTAGTAACATTCGGTATAGTACCTGAGGCGGTACTTCCCTTAACATGGTATTTACCATTCCCAATGTAATCAGGAATCAAACTCCATTTGCATAGGAAAAAAAAAATCGATGCCCTCTTTTCCTCCTCCAACTCTGTAATGCTCCGTTTAGTATGACAGAAAAATATAAGGAAGAAAAATTAAAAGAATTGATAAAACATCATATTTTGTAAGGAAGAAAAATATGATGGATGAAAAATTAGATGAATGAGTTTTCTTTCTAACTCACCAAAATAAATCATTTCTAATGATACCAAAAATTATCTAAGGTTAAGTTCAGCCTAGAAGCAGCTCAGATCTTCCAGCTTAGGTCTTGCACCTCAAGTCTTCCAGCTCGAATCTCCTAGTTCAGACCTCGGTCTCCTTGCTCAAGTCTTCTAGCTTGGACCTCGGTCTTCCAGTTTGGACCTCTTAGCTCAGACTCCCAGATCAGGTCTTCTAGTTCGGACCCCTAGCTCTGGTCTTTCAGCTTAGACCTTTGAGCTTAGGTCTTTCCTTGAGTACACTATGACAGCGAGAATTCAAACCTTCTATAAAGTCATGTCAAACCTAGAAAATATAGCTTATAATGGCTAAAGATTCCCGACACATGCGTCGTAATAACCCCCAAAGAATCACATTGATTATGCAAGGATCCTTGCTGTTATGAAAGGATCATGATTGTTACGCAAGGATCACGCTGATTATGTGAAGCTCCTACACACTATAAATATGGACCAATCCCTCGCTTTGGAAAGAAGCAGAATATCTATGAATAGACTTTTTGTAGCCTTGTAATCTTTTTTTTTCCAAATAATAGATAAACTCTAAGAAGCAAAAGACTCCATTAAAATAGACTAGCCAAGCTTTCAAACTGATGAACCACTATAAATCTTTTGTCTATGGATTCATGGTTGTTATCTCGGTAATGGGCTTTTAACCATTATGAACTTAGTAGCTTAAACTGGACATCCTAGTGAATCCCCATCATCATCCCTAATAAATTTTTAGTTTATTTTTCCCTTTTTGAGCCCCAAACTCAACTACACACCCACATAAATTACATTATCACCTTCAAAATTGGAAGAAAAGTAAATAAAAAATTAATTATTTGTGTTTAAATGTATCTTATTTGTCTGTATATTGTTTGACAAATAATGATATAATGATAAAATATGTATTTATATATATATAAATTTGAATATTTTATAATTCACTCTAACAATTAATTTTAGACCATAAAAATGACGGAAGTTAAACATGAGAAATTCATGTGATCTCTACTTATGATTATCATGGATGCCCAAATTTAGGATAAATTATAGTTTAAACCCTCAATTATGATTTTTTTCCCAAAAAGTGGATCTCAAATAATAGTAATGAATGCAAAATTGATTGCTTTAAACTCCTCTTTCGGATATATATATATATATATATATATATATATATATATATATATATATATATATATATATATATATATATATATATATATTTTTTTTTTTTTTTTTTTTTTTTTGTCTTTTTGTTTCTTGTTTTGGGGGAGGGGGAGGGGGAGGGGGAGGGGGAGGGGTATTCCGATAAATATTGAGATTGGTCCGATAATTATATCTACACCAACCCATACCCATTAAAATGGAATCCCATTTTAAATTGAATTAATAATTAAAGTAAATGTTTTTGATTAAAATTTTGTTCTCTCTTTTTTTAGTGGAGCTACAAGTTTATTTGATTAATAGTGTAATACAAGAATTTCAATATTTTTGAATATAAACTAAGAATGCAAAAATCTTTTCGGGATGTAAACTATCTTATTTTTATGAGATTTGACTAAAAATTTCTCTTTTTTGATGTAAGTGCAATTAGCAGTAAAAAAAATAAAGTATTAAAATTTGTTGATATAATTTTTTTAAAATTAAACGGGTTAAACGAGTCGTATTGTATTACCCGTTTATTAAATGAGCCGTGTTCGTGTTGAGATTTTTTACTTATTTATTAAATGTGTCGTGTATGGATTTATATATTTTTCACTCGTCACCTGTTTAACTCGATACGTAACCGTTTAACTCGACATGTTTTACAACCTAATTTACGTCACTGTTCATACCAGGTTGTTATTATGACCCAAAAAATAATACTGATGATAAAATACCAAACAAATAAGATATAAGGTAGGCTTCACTTATTATTTTCTTAATTTCACCTCTTTGTACCACTCTTATCCTCCGGCCAAACATGCCCTCAGGTTATGTACATTTCCGTCACGTGGCAAACATTTGTCCAATTTTTGAGTTGTTAAAACTTCGGTCAGTTCTATCCACAGAATTTTGTCATTGTGATTCACGTACAGCATAAGTTAGGTCGAAACATGAGTCGGTAATGTACCATAAGAAATGGGAGGTGGTCAATTTGTTGTCATTAAATATTACCTACTAAAGTGATTTTTTTATCACTAAAGGTTACACATCTTCCTCTAAAAAGGTTATAATTTTATCAATAACAGTGATAATGTTATCTCTAAAATAGGTAACGTTAGCATAAAAGATTGTAAGCTTATTTCAAAAAATTACAATCTCACTTCATCTTTAGAAGTGATAATCTTATTTCTATGCTTCGTTTGGTAGGAATGATGAAAAATAAGAGAAATATATTTTCTATCCTCCAAGAAAAAAAAATAGGAACAATACACTTTTATTCTTTTGTGTTTGGTAAGATTAATAAAAAATAAAAATAATAATTTATATCCCGTAAAGGTAAAGTCACTACTTTTAGATGTGATATTATAATTACTTAAGGAAACGTTACAATCTTTATGTAAAACTACTAAATTTGGAAGTGAAAGGACAATCATTTGAGATTAAATTATACCATGTAAAAGTTCTTCAAGTAAGATTACAACCGTTTAAAATTAAGTTACCATTTTTAAAGATGAGAATATAATCATTTGAAGTTGAGTTATAATTTTTAGAGATAAAATTATTGACTTTAGAGATTAGGTTACAAACTTTATCTATAGATGTGAGGCTATAACTATTTAAGATTAAGTTAAAAGGTGAGGTGAGCTTAACGCTTTAAGATAATATTACTATATTTAGAGACAAAATTATCACCATCATGTGCAAAATTACAACCTTCATGGAAAAAAGTGCAACTTTAAGATGCAAAGATATCACCTTTAGACAACCACACATTTATTATGTTACAGTACCGACATTTACATTGTCGGTACCAAAGCCTCTCCCTTGCATGAAAGAATATTAAAAATATTTATAGAAAAAATTAAATTCAGATCTCTTAATATTTGTCACTTAATCACTCATACCCTTTAGTATTTAAAATATTATAGACAGATCGCTTGAGGTTTGTATGTGTGTACTACTTAAACCTCTACCGTCAAATGTCCCGTAATATATCCGTTAGTAAAATTACATTTAGACCCATGGAGTTTGTAGACATATAATACTTAGATCTTTTAGTAAATTATATCGTTTGACAAATAATGATATAATGATAAAATATGTATTTATATATATAAATTTGAATATTTGATAATTAACTCTAACAGTTAATTTTAGACCATAAAAATGACGGAAGTTAAATATGAGAAATTCACGTGATCTCTACTTATGATTATCATGGATGCCCAAATTTAGGATAAATTATTGTTTAAACCCCTCATTTATGATTTTTTTTCCCCAAAAAATGGATCCCAAATAATAGTAATGAATTCAAAATTGATAGCTTTAAACTCCTCTTTCGGATATATATATATATATTTTGGGGAGGGGGATTCGGATAAATATTGAGATTGGTCCGATAATTATATCTACACCAACCCATACCCATTAAAATGGAATCCCATTTTAAATTGAATTAATAATTAAAGTAAATGTTTTTGATTAAAATTTTGTTCTCTCTATTTGTAGTGGAGCTACAAGTTTATTTGATTAATAGTGTAATATGAGAATTTCAATATTTCTGAATATAAACTAGGAATGCAAAAATCTTTTCAAGATGTAAACTATCTTATTTTTATGAAATTTGACTAAAAATTTCTCTTTTTTGATGTAAATGCAATTAGCAATAAAAAAAAAAGAGTATTAAAATTTGTTGATATAATTTTTTTAAAATTAAACGGGTTAAACGAGTAGTATTTTATTACCCATTTATTAAATGAGCCGTGCTCGTGTTGAGATTTTTTTACTCGTCACCTGTTTAACTCGACACGTAACCGTTTAACCCGACATATTTTACACTCTAATTTATGTCACTGTTCATACCGGGTTGTTATTATGACCCAAAAAATAATACTGATGATAAAATACCAAATAAATAAGATATAAGGTGGACTCTACGTACTATTTTCTTAATCCCACCTCTTTGTACCAGTCCTATCCTCCAACCAAACATGCCCTCAGGTTATGTACATTTCCGTCACGTGACAAACATTTGTACAATTTTTGAGTTGTCAAAACTTCGATCAGTTCTATCCACAGAATTTTGTCATTGTGATTCACGTACAGCATAAGTTAGGTCGAAACATGAGTCGGTAATGTACCAAAAGAAATGTGAGGTGGTCAATTTGTTGTCATTAAATATTACTTACTAAAGTGATTTTTTTGTCACTAAAGGTTACACATCTTCCTCTAAAAAGGTTATAATTTTATCTATAACAGTGATAATGTTGTCTCTAAAATAAATAACGTTAGCATAAAAGATTGTAAGCTCATTTCAAAAACTTACAATCTCACTTCATCTTTAGAAGTGATAATCTTATTTCTATGTTTCGTTTGATAGGAATAATGGAAAATAAGAGAAATACATTTTCTATCCTCCAAGAAAAAAAATAAGAATAATACATTTTTATTCCTTCATATTTAATAAGATGGATGAAAAATAAAAATAATAATTTATATCCCGTAAAGGTAAGTTACCACTTTTAAAGATGAGAATATAATCATTTGAAGTTGAATTATAGTTTTTAGAGATAAAATTACCAACTTTAGAGATTAGGTTACAACCTTTTGAAGCAAGATTGTAACCATTTATGATAAAATTATTACCTATGGATGTGAGGCTATAACTATTTAAGATTAAGTTAAACTTTAACTCTTTTAAGGTAATATTACCACCTTTAGAGACAAAATTATCACCATCATGTGCAAAATTACAACCTTCATAGAAAAGGTGCAACTTTAACATGCAAAGATATCACCTTTAGACAACCACACATTTATTATGTTACGGTACCGACATTTAGATTGTCGGTACCAAAGCCTCTCACGAAAGAATATCAAAAATATTTATAGGAAAAATTACATTCAAATTTCTTAATATTTATCACTTAATCACTCAGACCCCTTAGTATTTAAAATATTATAGATAGATCCCTTGAGGTTTGTATGTGTCTACCACTTAAACCTCTATCGTCAAATGTCCAGTAATATATCTGTTAGTAAATTATATCTAGACCCCTAGAGTTTGCAGGCATATAATACTTAGATTTTTCAAATTTAAAATTTTACACTTAAACCAAAAGTACTCCAATCAATGAAAGAGTATCAAATATTTTGAATTTTAAAACTAAAATTCATATTCTATTACATCATTTATTGAAATAAAATAAAAACCTATTTTTTTTTTAAAAAAAAATCATAATTAGTATACAATTATATTATCTATTAGAATAAAACTAAAAAAAAATAAAATCAAATAATGGGTCTAAATCATTCAAAATAAAATTCATGTTATATTATGTCATTTATTGAAATAAAATCAAAAATAAAAAAAATATTTTTTCTTAAAAAAACATAAATAGTATACAATTATACTATCTATTAGAATAAAATTAAAAAATTAAACAAGAAGTCAAACTATAATAGACACAATATATTCTAGCTTTAATTGAAATAATTTGATAGTTTAATTTGGTCGTTCAATAGATAGTATAATTTTAACATATTAATAACATTGTGTCTGCTGTATAACATTGTTTAATGCCAATGGAATCTAATAATCAGATTTAATATATTATTAATATTATCATAATTTCGACTGTTAAATTTTTTTATTCGCATTATATTCGTCGACACATTATTCGACTATTATATTAGGTTAAATTATTAGATCTCAGTCAAGGGTGTCGTGGGCTCTCTCCGACAGTGGCAGCGCAAACCTTACCCCTCGTTTCCCTTGCCCACAACTTGCAACACATCATATGGTCAAAGCTCATGCCCTTGGAACGAAACACAAAATTTTCACTTCTTACATTATGGCGGCATAGGATTTGGGGTCTATATATTCAATGCCACGATAATATCACATCACCATCGATGTATGAAGTAAATATTCAGTAATTAATTAAAAATTCTACAATTTGGGTGAGAACTCTATATGCAAGTTTAAACCAAATAATTATCAGACGTCAACATTTTATTTGTTTATACAAAGGGGAATGGGCTCAATAAGCAATGCTAATATGCGATACTTGGTCACGCTACTTTGAGAAGCATGCCCATCTCCATGTTGGTACATGCACTGGGCCATCCTGCCGAGGTTCTATATCATTCCAATGAAAGTTTGAGAGAAAGGTGAGTCTGCAACTCGAGCTACATTCATTTTCTTCCATGTCTATCTGATCAAGAATCTTATGTGTTTGCAAGCTTTTTCTTCAGAAGCTCCAATCTGATTCATGTAACATTGAATTGATTTAGGCACATCCCCTCTTTTCATCTCATCCTAGACAATGATAAAGAAATGACAACACATTAATATATGTATGTGTGTGTGTGTGAAACAAGTGAAGTTAAGGGTGAGCCTTGGTGACATGAACAACACTCGTTTAGTTGACTAGATTTTGAATATCCATATTGAATTCTAATCAGAGTTTTCAAATCAATTGAAATCTGAGCTATTGACAAACATAGTTAAGAGCAGAGGATGCATACCGATGATGTCCTCAAATCATCTACTAGTCTTAAAATCATTGAAGACCAGTGGATTATATCATGATACTTGTCCAAGCATTCCAAGGCCTCTTTTGTTATCACACTCGAAACAAAGAAATAATCCTGAGTTTTCATATGGTAGTTTTACTCGAAATCAGGATATGTGGGTTTATGCCTTGTCCTTCTTCGATCAAATATCCAATCCGTACGAGTTTTCAGGTTTTCATATTGAGGTGATGATCAATCCAAAAAATGAAATAATGGCATACACGCTCTTACTTTGAGACAAATCTTAGATCGCTCTGATGTGTTGCTTGCACTATGTTGAAGTCCAATTTCACAAATTCCAGTAATACAAGATTCATGTCTGGTCTTTTCTCGTACAAGTCTATGAACCACATTGCTTCCAACCTTAGCATCCTCCAATGTAGAGGAAGCTTCAAGGCATGGTGCACTAAAACATCAACATTTTGATCCATTTTCTGCTCATCAAGCTTCTCCTTCAAAAGTTTGGTGGTGAATTCTCTTGCCCTCTCCAAGATACTTTCACCTACCACTGCAAGGTGTGAAGCTTCATACAAGGATAGCATTCCTTTTGTATCTTCCCAAAGGTTTGGCTTTAAATTGCCCCATTGTTTGTGAAAGAGTTAAATATATCTGCAATCAAGAGTGCTTGTTTGTCAACTTTCGGTGGCAAAATACAAATTTGATCATGAGCATAGCCCAAATCCAACTCCAAATAAATACTACTACCTCATTCCATCTCTGAATCACAATTAAATACAGAAAACTGACATATGCAGTGTATAGCATTTATGCACATGTAATTATTGTATTATGTTGACTATAGTTTAAGTGAGCCACACCATGAATATTTTGTGCTTTTGTTGTAGGAGCGTGACACCATGTATTAGTGATAACATCGTAGCATTGTTGTAGTCAAACTCAAACTATCGATGAAGGAAAAAAAACAAGAGACGTAGAAAAAAACACCACTACCTTGAGGAACGTCGTAACCATGCTGTCTCAGGAGTCTAAATCGAAGAGCAGCGGCATATAAATCTTCTTTCTGCCACTTATTATTGCTATAAATGTTCTCCAAAATCCTCTTGATTTCATCCTCAAAGTGATAAGAAACCCCTAGCCTTTGCAAGTTATCGATCAACTCTAGCTGATCCAGTGGTTCCGTTGCTTTCTCAATCATCATTTTCAACTGCCTCCTCAACCCATTCACCCTTTTTGTTTATTTAGTCCTCTGCATAATATAACATTTGTTAGCAAGAATACTTCTTATTCCAGCTTTAATTTAGATATCAACTTTTTAAGGGAAAATTGTGTCAACCATGTGTCTTTTGAACTCATGGTCACAACATTCACATCTGATGCACGGAATCACTAACAACCCACGTGTTAAATCCGGATTTTATGATAGTCACCTCAAAATCACTTCTCAGTGACTGAACATAATCGTCTGCCCAAATGGGAGGTTGGTAGTTTGCTGATCGCCTAATTGGAGCTTGAATACAAGCAGGCTTGGTGACAACAGCTGAGCATTGTACAAGACCAAGATAGGGAGCACAGCCACTTGTGGGTGACTGCAACGGGGCATGTGTTGTTGGAGGCTGTCTAGTGAATGTCCTGAGAAAGTTAGGTTCAGTGGGTGGAACTGCAAGCAGGCTGATGATAGCCATGGGGCTCTCAGTCTGTGTACTTGCAAAAGCACTACATATAAGTGATTTGGTACCCTTATATATAGGAGTCTCCTAAGATAATAATTCATTCAATGACACTGGAAATCATGTACACGTATCCCCGTGTTAAGACCCACCCTTGAAAATCATGACCACGTGTATGGATTAATTTCGTATACTCGGTTTGTCCTCAAATAACATATCTTTAAATAACATATCTGTAATTTAGTATCACTATTGCATTGAATATTTAGAAACCACCACCACCACTCTCCGATTTGAGCTCCACTCTGTTCCCTCTCCGCCGAGCCGAAATCAGAACCCCACCCCATGACTGAACCACCAACCTCCAATTCTCTCCAACCGCACCAATCCACAACAACAAACATCATCAAATCAAACCATACCGTGAACACGAAAGACAGAGAGAAAACTCGAATGAAAATGGAGTCCATTAGCTGTAAAGTTGTGGTGGGTGAAAATTTTGAATTTGGGGGCGTTCGTATGGTTTGCCACCAAATCTGCAAAATGATTGAGATTTCAAACACCCATTACATGTTAATTAGATTTGGTTTGCCACAACCATTTTGCTTTTTACGATTTTTTTTGGATAAAAATCTTCCCAACAACGTATCGTTATCAGTACACCAAGTGCATGATGCATTGGTTCAATCTAGAATTTCTGTGACTATAGAAAAATGAACTCAGTGGATTTACGACTAGTTTTTTGTTCAACCATATTAAAACTAACAAATTTTGCAATATATTCTTCTCTAATATGCAAAAAGAAAAGGAAAAAAAAGCATGGATAAGGAGAGGGGAACAAATTATGCATATCATAATTGGTTTACAAGTAAAAAGGCCAGAGAGTGTAGTCGAGATTGAAAACGACCAAACGAGACAGTACTTGAATATTGATGATGGTGGATTTCGGCTTAGGCTGTCCATTCGAAGCCCAAAACACCCGGTAGGTCCCTGGTTATATGACAACTTAAACGACTCATTCACAGCATGCCCGCTCCGTCACCGTCATAAGAGTGGGCCACAACCCAAGGAAGAAAGTTCAATGACATCTAGATCGGTATATGCCTGCTCGGTCATCTTAAGTTTGGCGGAATAGACCAGCTCAGGAATTAAGAGCTCGGTAGGCGATAAATCCCAAGCCACTCTCATCATGCCATGTGTTCAGGGGATAACTTTTGGGGCCCTTGACAAACAAAATCTCAAGGTGTATCTTCTACTTTAAGCAATACAAATCTCAAGGTGCAAGAGCCTGTATTACAGTAGATATAACCTTAGTCTTTCAGCTAAGGTGAATCACTTATATTTTATTATTTGATACAATATCAACGCTTACTTTCTTATTGAGCCAATATTCACAAAGTTCACATAGTCACTGTTCTACACTTGGGCATAATAATTTTGAGCACTATCAAATACCATTATGTCCACTGCCTCATTCTTTTCGACTCACAGTGATAAAAATCTCGTGTCGAAAGAGTTAAGTTCTTGAAGGAGATTTTATCGCATCAAATGAAGAAGATTAAGCATGAGCTATCCCAAATGATTTCACTCGCCCGAAGATGAGTTGACTTATGTCAATTTACGATACTATACCTAACTTCTGATATGATATAGTATAAAATTCAGTATTCACCCCTTCAACTTCTGCATTCAATTTTTAGTTTTATGAAACAAAACCCCAGTTAACAAACACTTTCAATGTTTTAACCTGTTTGCACAAGGGGAATGGGTTTAATGAGTACTGCTAATATGCTATCTTTTCTCGCTACTTTGGGAGGCATGCCCATCTCTATGCTGGTACATGCACTGGGACACCCTTACTATGTTCATTGCCATTCCAATAAAAGTATGAGAAAATAGGAATTCTGCAATTCAATCATTATTCATTTTATTCCATGTCTCATTAATTAAAGATCTTATGTGTTCGCGTGCATCTTCTTCAAAAGCATCAGTATGATTTATGAAACATTAAATTGACTTAGGAACTTCTCATCTTTTCATCTCATCCTGAGTCAAGGAAAAGGAAATGATAATTGGTTATACATAGAATATGTACATGTATGTGAAATGAACAAACAACAAACTGAAATAAAGGGTGAGCCCGATTGGCTTGACAAGGACAACCAGACCTATCAACCAATGGGATGCGGATTTGCATGTACCATTTACATACTACAAAGCCATTGCTTTAGGCCCTAATTTTAGAGCATGATTTTTTACATTTCTAAAATATGGTAGATTAAAATTCTAGGCCTGTAAAAGTTTAAGTCACACAAGAAAGCCTCATAAAAGTCAAAGTTCTAACAAAAAAAATGTTAAGGCTAAGTCCAAAAACCTAGGGAATAGTCACATTTGACCCCCCCAAAAAAAATTGATGTTTCAATCATCAATACAATTAATAATTAAATAGGTGAATGGGCAAAAACGTTAGCGCTAAGACAATCACGATAAATAATAAATAAAAGGAAATCAAAAGTTTTGAACTATATCTTATAATTTATAGTAGTAATGGTAGATATATAGATATAAATATTGATGTGGAAATAGAAGTATATAAAGGGTTATTTGCATATTTAATTAATATTGAATAATTAAATACATAAGGATCTAGATGTCTTTTATCTTTTTGATAGGGGTATAATATTCGGTCAAAAATTTTTCATTTAACTTTTTTTTATTAGTAGTATAGATCAAACTACTAAAACCCTCCCCCTCTCTCACACACATTTTTCGAATTGAGGTATTGAAATATAGGAATATTAGATTCTTTTTCAAATACATGAATAAATTACAATATATTATTGACATTATGTATAACAATTGTATCACAAAATTAAAAATGATTAAATCTTGCCTTAGATCATTTAGGTCACGCGAAAACTTAATTACGTTAATCGAATTTGTGGTAGCAGGTGACAGAGGTGATGGTAAAGGGTGGCAGCAACAATGATGTGCATAGAGTGGTGGCGACAACAACTGTGGAGAGAGATACTTATTATACTTTTTTATCGAAGTGTTAACCTTTTTTTGCCCTTTAATAATTGTGGACTATATTTTTGGACGTAAATTTTAAATTTTATTTTTTTGACATAATCTTTTAAGAGTTTTTTTTTAAAGCTAAATTATAATATTTGATCTATATTTTATTATTGACCCCTTAAATTTTTGGGTCTTTTTTATATGTGGGGCCTAAAGTTCAGGTTTTTTGGGCTCTACTGTTGAGCCGGCCTTGTGTTATACCTCCTGTGCTCCCAAGAACCTGTGTGTGGTTGTATATTGTAGATTTCAATCCAGAACTCATAGATTTTGCAATGTCAATCACGGGGTCATCGGGCAAACCTAGGGCCGCCCAACAGTATGAAAAAAAAAAACATAGGCTTTATGCCCTAAATTTTTAGAAGCTCCTATAATTTTAAGTATATTGCTAACCCACAAAAAAAATTAAATTTATTAAATTTTAAGTCTTTTAAAAAGTCCTAAAAAATAAAATTCAATCAAAATTTTTATTATAATAATTTGGGTCTATAATCCAATCCATAACATTAAAACTTAAAATTAAAAAAATAAAAAAAAAATACTCAAAAATCAACTCATTTACTCTTATCCACTTTCTCTCCGTCTCTAGTTAAAAAAAAATAAAAATAAAAATTAAACACTCTCCTTCGACAATATTAACACATTATTTTTTTTTCACTTTATGCTTCAAATTGGCTTGAGCCGCCCAGGGCAAACCGCTTCTCCAATCCTCCATGCCACTACACACATTGCCTATGTCAATCACGGGGTCTTCATGCAAACTCCTTCTCCAATCCTCCATGCCACAATGCACATTCTCTATGTTAATCACGGGGTCTTCAGGCAAACTGCTTCTCCAATCCTCCATGCCTCAACACCCATTGCCTAGAAGAATCTGTCTGGTTGTAGATGGATGATTCAGCTTCCGAACTGATAGGCAATGGCAATGTTCCAAGAGGGATGGTTACAGATTCCAAGTTGTGAAGCATCAGGTCCTCGGGGAAACTGTCCACATTGTCAATCTCAATCATCAGGTCTTCAGGATCAAAACAAAGATTGCTATCAAGGGTGTCTGCTACCTCCCCATAAGTTGGTACCAAACTAGTTATCAGGTTTTCTATATGTTCACTGCCATCTAACCGAGACCTTTTTTGCCTGCTGCTGTTGATATGTTCATCCTCATTCTGCTGGTTTTGACAAACAGCTGCCACAGTTGGTGTGTGATCCAGTCTTTTAATCCGGCATAGTACATAATCCTGAGGAGAAGAGAGACTGTATTCTTTCATGAGCCATCGACCATGTTGGATCGATCCTACATTCTCGTACCTTAAACTTCTCTTGTATCCGATAACTTTTCCTTCACTGTTTTGAATGGGTTTGCCTTTGTTTTGACCTTTCCACGAACCCTTCCCCTTCCCAACCGTGCGAGCAAATCGTTTCCCCTTGGCCGTCTTCTTCTTCATCTCCGTGAAGAAGTAACGGCACTTCTCTTCGCTATTCCCAAATATCTCCCATGGCTCCATGTCTCCATAAAGATCATCTATGGTCACAAAACGTTCGTATAAGGATGGATTAGTGTAGCTTTCTAATGGTTTTCTAGATCGACCACTACTCCTAAATAAACTGATTATAAGATACCTCGAATCCTTTGAACTCAACCAAGCAACAATAAAATGGGGATGTGTTCTGAAGAAAAATAAGTAATGGTCCGCAGAGCACTTGTGAAACAATGAGGAATGCTTTATGCAGCACATACATATATTTTTTTGGTCAATATATGCAGGACATATAAATGAATTGTTTTGCACTGGCCAACACTCTGATGTGTAAATCAAGTCACAGAGATGGTCTGAAATTAGAGTTCACAATGAAAATCCATTTAATTACAAAACCTCTTGTAGAATTAACCTAATCTAAATGGTTAATCAATGCAGATCAATAAACTTCAATCCCAACGAAACTATCAGTACATAATTTTTCAATCTCATGGGTGGTTTAAGGTGTGGGTAATTGAGTTGTTGTTGTGGGAACTGACTATGGAGACTAAATTATTAGAAAATCCTGCTCCAAAAGATTCAGAGTTGAAGGCAGCAGAACGCTAATGGAGATATAAACCTCTTAACTCGGTAGCTGAACTTACTTCCACCCATGCAGCAGAGAGGAGAAAGCCCCTCCCACCCTTGCAAAAGTATTATTATGCATGACTCAAAGAACTTCAAAAGTAGGCACCATGACTTAAAAGAACTTTAAAAGTAGGCACCATGACTCAAAGTCATATAAATTTATTTATTTACTTTTTTAGAGAAGGAGGACGGTATCTCCGAAATTTATTAAATCACCCTCACTTGTGGCGGAGGAATACCATGGTTACATAATAGGTAATGCAACTGTCACATAAACTACCTAGTTCATCAATTTAAAGCTGCTAGTTCTACAAACCATAATAGAAACTATGTCCCAAGTTTTAACCATAATAGAATCTTGAGTTAAAAATACATAAAAATGGAAACTAGTCCATGAATTTAAAGTAGCTGTTAATTGTCTCAGGTCTTCATGGACAGTAGGTAAACATCCCCTCTAAGTCTGAACACATATTGTTCTGAAGATTGTGTGTGTCTTTATCATACATCATGACTCCACTCCGAGATTGAGTGTCAACGGCAATGTTCCAAGAGCTATGTTTCTGGATTCCAAATTATCACTCATCAAGTCTTCAGGCAAACCCCTTCTCCATTCCTCCATGTCAAAGCACAGATCGCTTTGAAGAATATGTATCGCTTTGTCGTATATCGATGACTCCTCCATATTAGAACACAAAATGCTTTGAAAAATCTGTGTCTCTTTGTCGGATTTTGATCCGGATGGAAGTGTTCCAAGAGGCATGGTTCTATATGCCACATTGTCCATATTCCTCAGGTTTTCAGGCAGTCCGGGTATCCGTTCCTCCATGTTTGTACCTGCAGTGCCCCCAAGAAACTGTGTGTGGTGGTATATCGTAGATTCCGGTCCAGAACTCATGGTCCTAGATTCTGCAATGTCAATCACGGGGTCTTCAGGCAAACCGCTTCTCCAATCCTCCATGCCACAACATACATTGCCCAAGTCAATCACGGGGTCTTCAGGCAAACTGCTTCTCCAATCCTCCGTGCCGCAACACCCATTGCCTAGAAGAATATGTCTGTACTGGTTGTGGATGGATGATTCAGCTTCCAAACTGATAGGCAATGGCGATGTTCCAAGAGGGATGGTTGCAGATTCCAAGTTGTGAAGCATCAGGTCC